ACCACAAATCATATAGTTACTTTGTATTCATTATGAATACGAGAAAAAAAAATAGTCCAGGTGAACGTTTCTTTGTAGTTGTTATCAGTGAAATAATGTGAACATTAATTTTTTTTATTTTTTTTTTTCAAATTTTTTTTCTCCTCCAAATAAATATTGTACGTGCACACATCATTTTGTTTTTTTTTAATATTATAAGGTGACGCAAATATTCTTTTTTCAAAATTGTCTTCATATTTACATACACAATTATATACATACAAATATATTTTGTATATTTGCACAACAATATTTTTACATTTTGAAAAACATACATATACACAATAAAATATATTTATGTGAATCCTCGAGAAAAAAAATCAAAGAAAACAACAATTTTTTTTTATTAAGGGCTAGATGAAAGAATGATTGTTAAATAAATTTGAATGATTGTTAAATTTGTGGTTTTACATTATAAAAACTAAAACCAAAAAAAAAAAAACTATAAACAAACAATTGTAACTTTTATTGCTTATTTACACAAAAATTATGTAGCGAAAATAAAATTCAAATAATTTAAATTCTCCGTATACAATTTTTTGTTGAAAAACTTACATTTGCCTTTAGATATTCAAATATTGTACATCATATAACAGCAACATGCACCATACATTGTTGCTTAAATTGTTGTCTACATTTGTCCAATTACCCATTTTTCGAGCTAAAGAAATTTTTCTTTTTTAACAAATTACAAATTAATAAAGAATAGCACGCAGTTTTACTGAAAAACTATTATTACACAATACACAAGTATACAACATATCCTTGAAATTCACATGAAGACAACAACGCCTTATATTTATAAATTATTGATTCAATTCTAACAATTAAAATTATTTAACAATGAAGAAGATAGAATATTTAATAAACTAAAATTAAAAATTTTCAGTAATTCAATAGGAAATTTTGGTAACACGCAATTCTCCGGCAAATTCCGGCTACAATTAATTTATTTGCCAGTAAAAATGTTAATGCAATGCCCTCCATTTGTGGACCAAACGTTATACTGGATATACAGACTATAATCATAGCAACTAAATTCATTATACGAGCATTAGGAGAGTCCTCCTACAAAAACTGAAGCATTTATATGGGAGAAACTGTACATCCTGTATAAATATTTCGCGGTATACGTTGTCAAATCTCAATTACATTTCCAAATCCTTTCACAATTTAATAATAATTAATTCTATTTATTTTAAGAAATATTCTCTGTTATCTAATCTAATTTAGTATTAAAATCCTAAATTCACTTTTTATTTAAAGTTATCATACTAAAAATATTTAAAAAAACAAAAAAAATCTACTTGTCTTCTTTTAAATTTTCAATTTTCATTGTATATTTTGTGTATTTAATCAATTTTTATATTGTACGAGTATGTCCAAATATAATTTTAAAATCTATACTTTATCTAATCAAAATTTGGTATCACTCATAATCTATTTTTGAACCTGTTATACATAATATATTTTAATGTTTTACCACAACAGTTAATTCAACAAAAAAAAAAAATTAAAAATCATATTAAAAATCCCAGTAAAAAAAAGTAGAAACAGTTGTACAGACATAGAAAATTTGAGTTTGTAATACTCGTATCAAGTAAATAAAAATATCAAAAATCCTTATCAAAAACACAATATTTTGGTTAAGATATAGACAAAAATTTTTATTAATGAAAATATGGTCGGGCACCATTATTGTAATTTCTTATCAAAAAATTGCATAAATATACAAAAAAAAAAAAATGATAACAACCCCTAATAAAATTCACCATTCACCGTATATTTTATGAAAAGAAGGATTTCGTTAATTTTATTTTATTCTGTAAAAAGAAAATGTAAATTTAATTTTAACCACAGTTGCTATAATTTCACCACACCATTTACAAATAATATTAATGCCCACATAAAATTTATACAAGTTAATTAGCTAGTACATAAACCTTTAGAAAATAAGTAAAAAAATTAAAAGTTGTCATCCTGAAAGTATGCAAAATATTTCATGAAATTGAAAATATTTCATATTTGCAAATTCAATCACAAATTGATTTAAAAGAATTAAATGCATTAAAAAATTAAATAAAATAAGAAAAAATCAAACCTCACGCTTTCTCACTACATTCTAGCCTATCCCTAATACAGTATGACCAAGAATGATGTATTGAACATATTGAAATTTAAAGAAACTTAGCATTCAAAAATAATAATTGAAAATATATGAAAAGGGTTATGTAAATATTTTTAAGGATTCCATTATTTACAAGGAAATAAATCAAAAAATATTGTTTAGAAAAATTTAATTAGATATTTTAAGAAATTTTACGAACAAGAATAGTTTTTATTTATAATTTTTTTATTAATATTATTTTTGTCTTTCTTTACATATACATATATTTTATACATCATTACATAACGTCATATAAATCTAAATTATTTTCGTATATTTTTGTCTTTTAAAATTTTTTGTTTAAAGTAATAATGATAAATCTTAATAGTTAATATAATTTGTAATAAAAAATTTAAAACTAAATATAGAAATTAACACAATTATTAAACTTAAATATTATAAAATCATAATAATTAACAAATTATCAAGAAAAACAAAAAAAAAAAAATAAGAGAGAAAAATTAAAATATTCTAAATTTTAAAATAAAATTCCAAAAATATGTACACACTTTTCAAAATTCTAATTCTTAATTAATATTAATATTGAAATTTAATAAAATTAATTTTACCGAAAGAAAAAAAAAACTCATACAAACGGAAAAAATTTTATAAAAAAAAATAAAATCTTCATTAATCTGATTAGATCACACACTCATTTAAATTAAAATAAAAACAAAAATGAAAAAAAAAAATAATAAAACAAATATTGATCAAAAATAATAAATTTTAAAATAAAAAATTAATCTTTCATAATAATTTTTATTATTATATTATATTTGAAAATATTTATTTAATTCTAGAATATTTGATATTTATGAAAATTTAATTTTTAAAAATTTTATAATATTTAAGAACATTTTTGTAACAAATTGGAGTAATATTACAATTACTGCAATTCAATCCAGAGTTTATTACGGGTAATATGACAATTATGTATTAATTAAGAACAAGAAGAATTCTCGAAAGAGAATAGCAATAAAAATAAACTTATTATTTCAATAAGCACACTATCGATCTATTCGGTAAGAAAATTATTACGATTGACTCGTTATTATTAACCGGTACTGTACATTTAAACCTGATTATGAACATCTACTGTGAAATGAATCTGATTTTGATTATTTGATATTAGAAATTATTATGTTGATATTCGGAAAATTTGGCCGATTTCTTAATAATAATTAATATTGGGTAGTTTAAAACTGCCCTTATGTACTATTGAAATAATTATATATTTTTTTTGTAAAAATCTTATAAAATTCTTAAAAATTAATTTCATTCAATATTAAAAACTATTTTATATTTTAAACTAAAATTTTATAAATGAATAATTAAAAAATAAACAAATATTTCATTTAAAATTACACTTTTATAAAATTGTTGATTTTAATAAATTAATTTTGGTGGTGATTTTCAAACTCAAATCATAAATTTTTAATTTCAACAATTTTTTTTCCTTAAAAACTATTCAATTTTGGTTTTTTAGCTTAAAACAAGTAAACTTTTTAATTATAAACATTAATTTCTTTTATTTTTTTTATTTTTTTTTATTTTTATAAGTTTACTTTAATATTAAGATTAACTTATATAAAATTAATAATTATTTGAACTAAATGAAAAGTCTTTTCTCATTTATTTACAAAAAAAAAAAAAATATTTCATGAGATTTTTTTATATTTATTTTTTTTTTACTACAAACTAATGGAATTCTTTTGAATTTTTCTGATTTATTTTTATTTACAATTTATTAATAAAAAAAAAAAATTAATTAATTTATTATTCAAAATTATTTATATGTTAATTATTTTACAAAATATTATTTAATAATATTTATTCAAATATTAAATTTGTCATGGCTTTTATTGAGATATTTGAAAGTCATATAACACATAACATTGAAAATAATAAAAGAAAATAGAAAATTAAGAATTCACAATAATTATATTCACAATAATTAACTTATAATAATGAAAATTTTTTATTCTAACTTACATGTACTTATTTCAAATTTGGAATTATTTAAAAAATTTAATTATAACAACAGTTCCTGTTATTTAAATTGCAGTAATTCTGTATTACTTTATAATCCAACAATCAGAACCTGTATAAGATGGGCTGTTTTGGTAACATAGAATTACTGCAATTCAAATGTAAGGCAATTTTAAAGAAATATTTTGTGATTTTACGACCATAAATGAAATATAATCAATAATTAATTTGGAGTTCTTAAAATATTTTTAATATATTGAGTGTGTATTGTTTAAAGAAAAAATATTAAAAATTTGATTTAAAATAAGTTCATATTTACATTGTAGTTTTATATATATATACATCTAAACTTATTTTATATAGTGTATACAATAATAAGCGAACTTTTAATATTACACACTAAATTATTTATATAGAGAGGTTTATAATATCAAATTCTTGAGACTTACTTTAAATTAAAAATTATTATTTGATTCAGTGTTCCAAATATATTTACGATTTATTTGATTAATTTGAAAAAATATAAGAAAAAAACTTTCTGTAGAGTTTTCTAAGCAAAAATATCTGAAGTGAGATTCCTGTGACTAATTAATTTTAATATATATGCATATGCATCTAAGTCTTAATATTCCTAATGATAATTGTTCTTTTAATTGTTAAAAAATATTTAATTCTATTGTAATATTTCATTAAATATTCTATTTTTGATTTTATATTATTTTTAAGACTTAATATTTTTAAAAAATTAAAAAATATATGAAATTATTTACAAGATATATAAACAAATAATTTTAAATTTTCCTCATTTATCTAATTAAGCTCATTCAATTTTAATTTGTCTTTCAATCATTTCAATTTTTTGTAAACTATCAATATGATGACCAAAATCATCTGAATAATGATGTAAATGATGATTTGATTCCTGTTCATGTTGATAATGATTGTGTGGATGATTATTATGTTGATGATGATGATGATGTTGATTACCATCATAATCTGTATCATCAATTGATGGACTACGACTTGAATGATGATCACTCATATGAAGATTTTCTTCAATTTTAATTAAATGAACTTGATTGATATTACTACCATTACTATTATTACTATTACTATTATTTAATTGTTCATGATAGTAATATGTTGGTGAATGTTGATCATATGGTGGGCTACTATTGGAGATATTCGAGATCGCTAATTCCTGTGGTGAGTGCGTTTGACGATTCTGATGATGATTGATTGTGTTGTTGTTGCTGTTGTTCAAATGTTCCTGTTGCTGTAATTGTTGTGATTGTTGATGGTGATGGTGGTGATGATGATGATGGTGATGATGATTGTTGTTGTTGTTGTTGTTGGATTGACGTGATATTTGTTGCTGTTGTTGGTGATGGGCATCTATAGGTTGTGAGATATTCTGTTGCTGTTGTTGTTGTAGTGAAGTTTCCACTACTGATACAGGTATCGAGATTATCTGTTGTGATGTTGGGGTGATTTGTGATGCAACCACTACTGTCGATGATGTATTGATTCCCGCCGCCACCTGGTGATGTTGGTGAAGGGCATGATGTTGTTGCAGTTGCTGTTGAAGATGAAGATGAGGGTTGCTGTATATCTGTTGTTGAATTCCTGATTCTGCTCCATTCATCAATGATTGGTGTTGTTGTTGATTGGTCTGTTGAGTTTGGGTTTGTGATTGTTGTGTCTGTTGTTGTGTTTGTGTTTGCTGTTGATTGTGAATCGATGTATTGTTGTTTGTTGTTGTCGGTTGTGTTTGCTGTTGTTGATGAAATTGTTGTGTTAGATGTTCTTGATGATTTTCCTGTTGTTGATTATTATGATGTTCAGATAAATATTTATACATATTAAATTTATTATTTGTCGGACTAATATTGTTGTTATTAATGAAATTGAAATTGTTATTGCTATTATTATTATTATTTTCTAATAATGAGGGTGACGTTGTAATAACATTATTCATACAGTTATTATTATTATTATTGCTATCATTATCATTGTTATGGATTGTTGATGAAATTAACTGAGATGAATTTATAGTTGTTGATGAATAATTATTATGTAATGGTGATAAATTTTGATTATTTGATATTGGTGATAATTCATTAAAACTATGATTCAATGTTCTATTATGAATATTATTAATCGATGACGATGACAATGGTGATGATGGTGTTGATGGTGATGGTGAAATTATATTTTGATTTTGATGATTGTAATTGTTATTTAGAAAATTATTATTATAATTATTGTTGTTATTTTTATTGTTATTTTTATTATTTTTGTTTACTGTGATAGCTGGATTTGTTGTTGATAAATTCGAATGGGATAAGGCATTTGTATGCTGTATTGATGATGATTTTTTATTTTTCGATTCTAAAAATAAACAAAAATTGAAAAAAAAACGATAGAGTTCAATTTTATTTTTAGAAATGAAAATTAAAAAAAAAAAAAACAAAATTCTATGTATATTAAGACCTTAAAGAGTGCGCATAATGATTCTAATGAGTGCGAAAACTATAAATGATTTTAAAATGAAATTTTGTAATTTGAATAATTAAGTATGTTAGTAAATTTTGAAAAAAAAAAATTACTTAAGAACTACATGAAGTGCAAAATTTTGGCACTTTCACTTACCTTTCGCTACTTCAACTAACAATATTTTTGCTTTTCTTTCAACTTTGACTGTTCCTTTAGGTTTACGCTTCCTTGTCTAAAATTTAAATTAAAAATAAAATTAATTAATTTCAATTTGTAATAAAAAACAAAAAATTTATTTACTTGTATTGTTTCTTTTTTCATTGCAGGAGGTCTCTTAATATTATGCAATTTAAAATAGAGACCACAAGCATTACATACAGGTTCACCGTTAAGATTTCGTCTCCAAAGTGGTGTTAATGTGGTACTACAGTTTGAACAAGATAACCCGACTCGTCTTGATGCACTCTGCTTAAGTATTAAAAATTTTCGTATATATATAATATTGAAATTTTCATAAATATGATGAAATTTAATAAAAAAAAGTAAAAATTATTTTATGAGCAGTAATATCTTGAAAGGATCAATAAAAAATAAACAAACTGGAAAAAAATTTAAATTTCTAAAGTTTATTTGGGAAATAAAAATAACAAGTTCAGTAATCAAAACTTTCAGTATTTAAAATTTTTCCAATATTCATGAATTCTTTCAAGATATTGTCTGCTACTCTTTAATAATTTTTCGAATATCAATTGTACTTTTTCAATATATAAAATGCAAAATTTTAATATTTTTAATTATAATTGTAAAATTGTATTCAAATTATGTATTTTACGTAAAATACAATTACGTTCCTGTTATTGGAATTGTTTGCTTAATAAATTTTAAAATAAATTATTACTTTTACGATTTATTTAATATTTTTGTAATGCTCAACTTACAATGATTTTATATTTATGTTTAAGGTACCCACCATCTAGAATCGGCAATTTTTCAGGCCGGGCAGGTGCTTAGCTTTTTCCACTTTACTAAACTATACCACGGAATATTCTTAAATTAATTTTAACATTTGATATTGAAAAAGCACAATAATCATTTAAAAATTTAAGAACAAAATTTTTAAAAAAAATTAAATACATAAATAAAAGATATAACAGCAAAAAAAAAAATTATATTAACCTTTGAACGTACCAGACGCCGGCTAGTCTTTTCCTCAGTTACCGCCCGAGTCGGCAATGTACTTGAATAGGAGGAATAGTAGTTCTTATAGAAATCTCCGCCTTGATCAGCGGCCACTGCAAATTTATAAATTTGAATTTTAGTTTTTTTGTTTAATATGTTTTTGTTGATTTTATTTTATTTTTCAATTCTTTTTGTTTTTCTACGCTTGTTTTTTTTTTTGTATTTCAAACATTAAAACACAAACAAAAAATTTATTTTGCTTTCCTTCGGATAATTTTAATTTGATTGAGATTTAAATTAATTTTAATTAATAATTTTTGTAGTATATTTTGTTAGTTTATTTAATTATTTAGTTATAATTACTTATTACAACTATATAATTTTGTTAATTTTACTACAAAGATTAATTTTTGATTATGATTGGGTTTTAATTTTTAATAAAGAAGTTTTTCATATAGTGAAAGAAGCAAATTCCAAATAAATTATTAAAATAAATAAAAGCAAATTTTCTATATATATATTATATTAAACAAAAATTATAAAATTTTATATAAAAATAGAAAATTGACGCCGTGTTTAGAAAAAAAAAATAATATAAAAAATAAATTCAATTAATTTCCTTTGATTATTTTAAAAATTATCGTTTGTTTTTCTTCTTCTTCTTCTTCATACTTAATTTTCAAAAAAACTCGATTAGCGATTAATTATCATGTTTAGTTAAAATAATTAAGAAAACAGTGGATTTCTATAAGAATTTACATTTATTCTTAATAATTTCAATTTATTTATTAATTTAATTTAAAATAAAATTTTGTTCTTAAAAAAAAAAATTTTTTAAATTTAAATTTTTGCATTTTTTTTTTTTGTTATTTTTTACCAATCGTCTAGGTTGTTTAACTAATGGTCGATTCATGCCATTCATTTTATGGTAAAGACCACAAGCATTGCACAAATAATGACCGGTGTTATCACGGCGCCACAATGGGGTTGATATAGCTCCACAATTGACGCATTCGCGACCTTCAGTGAATATATCAGCATCGATTTCAAGTAGCGCTTTCGCTTTAAATTTTATTAATTTATATTAATAGAAAAAAAATTTATTTTTTGTTTTCGTTTTAGAGAAAAAATTCTTTTATATTAATTTTTTTTTTTTCAAATGTGATTAAATATTATTAATAATATAAATTTATTTTATATAAAAAAAAAATGTTAATTATTTAAAAATAAATTAATTTTATTAAACATAGACACTATTTAACATTTTCTTCACTTCATTTCAAAATTATTATGTTCCTTTATATATTTTTATTTGAAGGTAAATTAATTGAATTTATTATTATATGTTATTTAAAAAATTAATATATTATAAATAATAATTTTAATATATTTAAAAAAAAAATAAATCTAATAATGCTCACTTATTCTACCTACATATAATAAATACCTGACAATAAAAGAAAGAGAGAATTTCTCTATTCATAAATTAAAAATTCTCTTTATAAATTATTTTTCTCTTGTATAATAAATTAATTTTAGCATATAAGGTGTTACCATTTGGAAAGAATTAAGAAACCGATATGCAAACTAGATATAATCTTTAAATTTGTTAGCAAATGTATAAACAAGTAAAATTTGAATAAACTCAAAAATTCTCAAAAAAGAGAAAATCAATATGTGGATTTAGACATCGGATTTAGAATTAGAATTTACTAATATTGAAAATTCAAGAAAACAGACATGTTTTTTAAATAAGTTATAACAATCGCGGCAAACATTGTGTCATTTATTGACTATATCTACACTACATCGTTCAGCATTAGTAATCAATAAACAAAAAATAAGACAATTTAAATTAAAAATGGTTCGTAAACTTTTTTAATTTTATGCAATATTGTAAAGCAACGTTTTTAAAGTGGAAGTAAATGAGTTCAATTTTTGTTTACTATGAATTGTATGCGCAGATCACAGACCTATTGAATGTAGGTACATACCAGTAATCTGAAACTAATTGTAATTTTTTACAATATCATTTCAGTGAATACATTTGAAAAATTTAGTGAAAAACATTAAAATAAAAAGAATAAGTAAAATCCAAAATTAAAAAAACAAACAACAATTTCCTTGACATACATATGTATATGTGTATGTACTCCCATACAATTTTTGCAAAACAAAAGTAGAAAATCAAATTATTTTATAACAACTATATTCAGTAACCTACTTAGCCAGAATTAATTTATATAGTTTATGTATTCTTTTAAAACAAGCATTAATTAAAAAATCATCAGAATATGCATAACATTATTTTATTTAATTAAATTAAAAATATGCATATGTACTGTATCGTATGTAAAGTATTCAATAAATAAATTCAAATCCCATCAAAAAAATGGAAAAATGCTTATATTTCAAGTGTAATTCGAGTACAATTGCACTAGATTCATTATAAAAATTAAATTTTTAAAAATTTATGCTTTGAATATTATTCAAAATTATTATAAAAATTTTAATATATCTCAATTTTTACAGTTATTCATCAATTCAAGTCAAAAATCCTAGTTACTATGTTCTCTAATATAAAGCAAAAAAAAAATTAAATTAATTATTTTATAAAAATTAGAATAAAAACGAGCACAACATCTTCACCTAATTCAACAAAAAAAAAAAAAACATGACCTCAACAACCTCTTAACAAAAGCAAAAAAAAAAATAACAAAAATATACAAAACCACAAAATTAAAATAAAAAAACATAATATTTTTAGATTTAAGATAACTGAAACATGGCAATACCGCACATGGAAAATATTCTTACAAAAGATAAGAATTTTGTTTTCAATCAAAACTGAATTTCAAATAAGAATTTATTTACAAACCGTGAGCATTTCTACTAAATATTATAAATACAAAAAATAATTTAAGTTGTAAGAAACTTACTTGCTGATAAAGATGCCGCAGCTGATAAATGAGGCATTGTACCATCAGTTGTTCTTAAACCAGCAATACCAGTACCACGAGCATTAGTTGAACATACAACACTAGTACCGATTCCTGTTGATGATGCATAACTTATTGGACTAGTGTCAAAAGTTTGCCATGGTTCTGTTGTCTAGAATACAAAACGATAATATATATGTAGTTAGATTCGATTTACCTTAAAATTAATTTTAATAATTATTAAACAAATTATTCGCAGGTACTTGCCGATTTTTCATTATTGCTTAATCAAATATTCATTTACACATGTATGCTTATATGTTGTGTAATTTACAAAATTTAAAAACAAAAAACATAGATCTAGTTGTTTTCAGAGTCAAAATGTCTGGCATAATAAAAATGATATTGATGTAATCAATAATAAATTATAAAGCTTCACAGTAAACCCTCAAAATTACTGATAACTAAAATGAGTAAATTTTTAGAATGAAATTCTGCCATATTTAATTGTATTAACAATCAAGTGTCTTGCGCAATGCACATACCCCAATTTTCAAAATTACTAACAATTTACTGTTATAATAATCATACGATATTCCGTACACCGCTTTGAGTCTAGTAAAAGCATAAACATTTTATATTATATATAGTACTTACTTGATTTCTATAATTACTTAAAGGTGAGTTATAATGATTTGTTCTATTATTTGTACCTATGCCGCTACCACTACCAGTATTACCACTTGCACCACCAATTGATGAATAACTGCTATTTGATGTAATTCTTTGAAAAGCTGGTAATGCACCACATTTTGTAGTACCATAATCACTTCCTGTTAGACCAACTGAAGGAGCTGACCACATTTGATGTACTCCTGGATTATCATGTGTTGGACTATTTGCACCATTTAAATATTGCATACCGCTTGTTGCTGATGTGAATGGTGGTCTTTGACAAACTGAGCTATAAAATGAATATAAATTATTATAAGAAAAAAAAAAGCTAAATAATAATGATTTAAATAGGAGTGCATTTTATAAGCATGTAAAGAAAATTAAAATTTTAATGATTAATCAAGAGAAAAATTCAAACAAAATTTTTTATAGTAGTCAGTTCTCTTATTTATTAAATTTTTAAATCGCATAGGAATTCAGCCCAAAATCAGCAAACTCATAAAAAACCCTTTTTTCCACAAAATCTTCATAATGTTTTAACTATATAACTGATTAGCGGCAGTTCCCCGTATATAATAAAGTGGATGTATACCCATGACAGAGACTTTCTTACTACTACCAAGTGCCGCCTAAACTTGCTTACATCTGCATTACTGGAGCTATGAGAACGTGCCCGACAGCATCTATTGAAACTTACACCATTGCATTCAGCGTTGGCTTCCGTTGCTAAGGCAACCTTTGGAAGACTGGGCAGGAGAAATGCACGGAGGAGTCTTGAAAGGAGATCCTCTGGGGCCCAAACCTGAATCTGGTAGAAAAGAATCAAGAAAGAGTTCAGAAAGAACAAGATCGAAATTTATTAGCGCATTAGATCCACTTCTTAAGTCGCGGTGCATTGTTAACTAATGTAATCTAATCTAATAATTGATTACAAGTGAAAGTAAAAATTTAGAGTTAAAATTGTATTACGATGTCCAGCACTACCAAACACAATCGGATAACATTGAAATATTGCGTACGTGCATACATGATCGTGGGTAAATTTTCGGTATTACCAACTATTGATCTTTATCAATGTCACCCTATAAAATACTCGTTTTAACTATATAATATATTTAATAAATAAGTAGAATTATTGCACATAATTGAGGATGTTAAATAAAATTATATATTTATTTTGAATAACAACTTTTCCCTAACTTAAAATTAAAGTAGCAGAAATATTGTAATTTTGTGTAAAAACCATTGTAAATCGATATCTTTTCAAAAAAATCAATTATAATACTATACTTAATATACTTAATTAATGATGATGTTGTTAAAAATTCTTGAATTTCAAAGAATATTCTAGATATTCAACTTGAAAATCTATATAAAATATTATAAACTTGATTAATTCTTCAAGTACAAATTCACATTACATATAATATATGTATGTAAGTTTAATGTTTTTCATATACGAAATCCAATATATTTAATAAACAAGAAAATATTTTTCCTGCTTTATTTATTTTTTTTAAACTGTAATATGCCAGAAGCTAAATACAGGTTAAAAAACTATATTTTTAAATTTTTAACAACTTTTAAATTATTAAAATTTTGTGTTATTGAAGTAATTTTGGCATACTCAATTGCTCAAATGTAATCCGGAATTAAATTTTTATTTGGAATAATAAATAAGTATTAAATTAAATCACAAAATATTCCAAAAAAATTTTTGGACTCAACCAGTTTCTTGTTAGCTTTTATTAATAATACAAGGGTCTTACAAACCCATACATGTATATATAGTACAGACATAGTACTGTATAAAATTTAAATATTTCTTTCTTATAATTTCTTGTAATAGTACCTAATAAAAGAGTGAAGGTCTTAATTTATTAATTGTCTATAATATTAAAAGCCCTATCAAATTAACTTCTTGAATAATTATCTAAAAGAAATGATAAAAGAAATTCATTATAATTTAAATTAAAGGAAAAAATATTGTGAATCATTTTTTATTATTTCTTTTCTTTTATTTTCATTTAAATAATTCTAAATAATTTAAAAAAGAAAAATAAAATTAATAATTTTAAGACTCTTACTTTGTTTTCAACAATAACGTCTTCTAATTGTCCTTTATTATACGAGTAATTTTAATGACTAATCTAATAATAACCTTTGAAATTACAACTTATATTTTTATTAGTACAATTATATATTATGTGTACATAATGTGATTACTCAAATACTTTCATTTTAATAAATTTTAATTTAAGAATATTATGATTCATTAATGACAATAATTATTACCATTCGCATAATTATATCACACCCAATACATTATGCACATTTTATTCACTTAAATATTATATTTGCACACATTATTTTATATCGTATTATAATTGTGAGTAGTTGCGTTGTGTGTATCTTAATGACAAATAGTATGTTTGTATACATAATTTTGTAATATGATTTTTAAATTTAATTTTGAGTATGAAGCTTCTACTCGTATATTTACAACTAAATTTTATAATGACACGAATAAATTTAAAGTTCAATTTACAAAATTTATTAAAAATTAAAATTAACACATGTTAGTCAACTCATAAACGTGTATTGCACAAGTTGATAAATTCTCAAACTCACCTATTACAAAATAAGTTATTAATTATGCTTTATTAGCTTTCATAGCAAAATTTCAATTATGAAATTTTAAATACGTCTGAGTACCGATATACTCAAATATTTTACAATTTGTGTTCACAATAATCGATCATGCTAACTCCAAATAAAAACTAACTTTAGTTCTATGTGATTCTAATTATTGATTTTAACTTAGACAGTATAGACAATAATGAATTAATATCAAATTTTAACAAATTTAATAATTTGTGTAAAAATTTAAATTCTATATACGACGCATAAATGTAATATATACCCTCATACGTACACACAGGCATACATCGGTTATATAACATATAATGCCAATTAGTATAAAACAAAACCAAAAAAAATATAAATAACTTAAAATATAAATAACAATGCATTAAAATTTTAATATAACATAAGATGATGATTTCCCCAATAATTTCATTCAAACATTATAATTTTGGAGTAAAAAAAAGAACGGCTATGTATACATTTTGTTATTGTTGTTTGTTTTGTTAAATCAGCAATTAATAAAACATAAATATAAGCACTTTAATACTTAAAATACGATCAAATTTTTAATACTATAGGTATAAGCTTTAATATGTACAAAATTGTGCAGGGTGACCCCAAACTGATGTCAAAGATTTCTAGGGAAATCATCCCCAAGGCATTGAGGTTTTTTAAGAAAACAATTGTTCGTGTAAGAGGTGTGAAATAAAGGAGGTGGAACGAAGCACACAATCGTCCATGGGTAGAGGGAGTTAAAGCAGCTTCGATGCTTCTATATATATACGATATTTTTCAGATTACAGCAGTTATGGATTCAAGAAATGTTTAACACTAATTCGGGACCAGCTTGTAATATGAATATTAAAAATTAAAGTTTTTATATTAAAAAATTTTACGGTTTGAAAACGTTAAAATCAAATATAAACAAAACCAAACGAAAAAAATAAAAAAAAATAAACAAGAAACTGTTAAGTTCGCCTGGCGAACTCTAAAAAATTAATATATATATACAATATATACATGTCCATATATGTATATATTATTATAAATAAAATTATATACAAATTTTCCAAAACTTAATAAATAAATATGGAATTTTAACTTCTGCAGAAGCGGTTGAAAATACTCAACTTATACTTAAAACAATAATACACTATAAAACACATCAATGGGTCCTACATGCTTATGTATATCAAAATAAACATAAGGTATTCATATATATGTATATGTATGAACATATGTGTATCGATTTCAATATAATAAAAATTATGGCGTTATTTATGCTCTTTCGAATTTATGATCGAAAATTAAAGTAATAACGAATTCATAATTTTGTTTATAACACTTGTATTAGGTATATAAAATAACGGTTTTTCAACTTTCGAATTATAATCGAACTAAATTTAATGTTGGATCATTAAAAAAAAAAGTGATCAAAAACTTCTATGATTAGTTTATTGAATTTTTAACTATTTTGTTATATCAATGCAAGTAGAGTACAGACATCCCAAAATCAATAATACTACCATAAAAAGAATAAAAAATGACATGATAAAAAATTTCCCAATTCGACCTGCATACTCAATTTTCATGTCGTTATACCCCATAGTTTATCTTTATGTAACAAATTCAATTATTAAGTTTATAATACCGCTAAACTAACAATCATATAACGGTATGGTATAACACTATATGAAAACTTTTATAATGATGAGCCTTCAAATGTAAATAAATAATAATAAAAATGAAAATAAAAAAAAATATATAGTAGAAATTCAACACCATTCATCAATATGTTAAATATTTAAAAGGGGCATCTCTCAATGAGGTGGTCTCCTTCAATATAAAAATCAAAAAAAAAAATTGCAAAATTGGCTATTATTGACATTCAAATTGAAATTATGGAACATAAAAAGTACGATGATATTTAAATTTGAGTATAGAAGAGAATAAATGCCGCCAATTTTAAGTTTACGAAAAAATTAATATCGTAAATTCAATTGGCTTGGATCTTTTTAATAATATCTTTTCTATCAATTATGTTATACATAGCTAAATCATCGAAATTTATAAAATTTCGAAAATTCACTATTCCGAACATTAGGGTTAAATCTAAAACTAGGAAAGAAACAGAAATTTTATTGAGAATTTCTGATTCGGAATTGTTTCCTTAAACATGTTCCTCTTAATAAACGCCAGACTTCCGATCATGGCGAGCAAATTATACTTATAATGTTCACATATACATATTACAAAAGAAATCTATATTAATGTATGTACCCATTCACTACAATTAGAAAAATAATAAAAAAAAAATTACCCGAAAACGATTTGAACAGTTTAAAGTACTTAAGCTGTTCAGCACATTCTCTAAAAATAAAAAGCAACTACTTTATTTCCATTTATATTACGATATAGTGTTACATTTGATGATTACTAAATCAAAAATTTAATGTCAAACCAAAATTTAATTTATAATTTCAATTTCAAACTATAAACAAAAGCAAAATTTGAAACACTGTAAACAGAAGAAAGTTATGAGTTTATGTTAAAACAAAAACTTTGAAATAAAATCTAGAAAATATTTAAGTTGTTTGATGAATTTTTTGAAATAACCATAAGTCAATACAAAATAATAAACAT